CGACCAGCTACACCTACGAACTTCAGGGACACTAGCCGAGAAGCCTGATCCAACCATGTACGACTTGGGGCCCCATGGGTCCGAGACATTGCCCCATTCGCAAACCTTTGAGGCAACAGTGCTGAAGTGCGGCAGGCCTACAGGAGGGTGAGGGACCCCGTAGATGTGGTAACGCGTGTCTCCGTTAGATTTTTCGGTGAGAAACGAGAGGGAGAGGATGAGGAGGAGGAAGAGGAGGAGGAGGCGGAGGAAGAGGAACATGAGGAGAGGAGGAGGAGAAGGAGGAGCAGGAGGAGGAGGAGAACGATGAGTCCCAGAGTGACGCCAAGATCCATCGACGATGCTGCAATACACCCTCCTGTCCCAAGCCCCGGACTCACAAGTCCCCGCACGCCTGCCTTTACCATACATGAAGCGCCCCCCTGAAAGACCAGCACCCTATGTCAGCGGGCCAAGAACGGTGTGTAATACACTTTTTCGTCACCAGGGGCGCTGCCCCAGGGCGGCTGGAAAGTCTATGTTCTCGCGTGCCACCGTGAGGGTATAAACTGTCCAGCCGCCCTGGGAGAAGGCGCCCCCGACAGCGAGAAGGTGTATGTGGTACCGCTCTTCGCCCGTCAACTATGGGCCTGCCACTTCGGCGAGGGCCCCTCTTTTTGAGGAGGGTCTGACTGCCCTGCAGCCTCGTCGGCGAGTGGTGAAGAGCGCGCAGAAGGTAATAACCATACACGCCCCGGCGAGGCGTCCGGCGAGAGATTCCCGTCTTGAGAAGGGCCGCCCCCATCCGCGTACCTCTGTGCAGATGCACCATATGTCCAGGTCTCTGTTTTGTTTGTTTTGGTTTTTTATGCCTGGACGTCTCACCCGAAGGCCCACCTTATTTTGAGGAACAGCCGCCCTTCTTCCCGCACAGTTGCTGAATATGCGCAGGTTGCTGGCCTTGAGCTTCGTGGCACTTCGCGTATGCCTGCCAGCCCATCCAACAACAGATGCCAGTCGAGTTGCTCTGATCAGGGTCAGAAGGAAGTCGAGTTCACACCCCGTGGCAATTCAGCGCGTGTTCTGAACTGGGGAGGGTCCTGCTCTCGGCATCGTCTTCGTCCGCGTAGTAGGGATGATGATGATGATGATGATGATGATGATGATGATGATGATGATGATGATGCTGATGATGATGATGATGTTGCTGCTGATGCTGATGCTGATGATGATGATGCTGATGCTGATGATGATGGTGATGGTGATGGTGATGGTGATGGTGATGGTGATGATGGTGATGATGATGAGGATGAGGATCAGGATGAGGATGATGATGATGATGATGATGATGATGATGATGATGATGATGATGATGGTGGTGGTGGTGGTGGTGGTGGTGGTGATGATGGTGATGATGATGATGATGATGATGATGATGATGCTGCTGCTGATGATGATGCTGTTGATGATGATGCTGCGGCTACTGATGATGATGATGAGGAGGAGGAGGAGCAGAAGGATGAGGAGGAGGAGGAGACGGAAGAGGAGAGGGAGAAACTGAGGACGAGGAGGAGAATGTGTTTTGGGGCCTCCTGGGCGCCTCCAGGGAGCCTCCTGGGGGCCTCTTGGGGGCCTCTTGGAGGCCTCCTGGGGCCCATCGGGAGCCGCTTGATGCTTCTTGGGTCGTCTTAGGGGACTCTTGGTCCGCCTTGCGTCTTCGGAGGCCGTTTTGGGGTCCTCTCCGGGCCGTCTTGGTGCCTTCTTGGAACGATTCAGGGCCGTCCTGAGGCCCTCTTGGAAGCCCCGCGGGCGATCTTTGGGCCTTCTTAGGCCGACTTGGGGCCCCCCTGGGGGGCCTCTAGGGTTGTCTTGCGGCAACCTTGCAGGCCTCTTTGAGGCCGTCTTGGGCCGTCTTGGGCATTTCGAAGCCCAAACAGGCGAGAGCCTCAAAAGTCATCAACAAACCAAACAACATCGATGGTTTGTGGCCTCCGTGGGCTCTCCACGAAGGCCTTGAGGAGCCCTCTTGGGCCGTCGTGTGGGCCTCTTGAGCTGCCTTAAGGCAGTCTTGGGAGCCTCTTGAGCCGTCGCGGGCCATCCGCGGACGTCTTGGTGTCATCTTGGCTACCATGGAAGCCGTCTTCGAGGCCATCTTGGCCGTCTGGAGACCGAAAAGGGCGCGGGAGTACAAGTTTGGCAGGCGCGCGGGGTGAGAAGGGGCGGGGGGATTGTCCTAGAACATGTTTGAAACCTCCCAGGCAACAGACGAGCGTGACGTAAAGAGTAGTAGCGAGAATAGTTTTGCACAAGACTTTAGCCCCGCGGGGCGTGGCTGGGCGAAATTGTTCGAACACGCCCAGGAGGCCTCAGCCAAAGAAGCCTCCAAGACGGCCTAAGACAGGCCCACGAGGACCCGAAGAAGCTCCAGGAGCGCTCCAACAGGGTTCAAGATGGCCCCAATAAAAGGGCCAAGAGGTCTCCAAGACGCCCCAAGAGGACCCTCAAGAGAACCCCTAATAGGCCTGGAGGAGGCAAAACACACACACACACGTGTCTTCAGGCTATGAAGGGTTTTGCTGTTATCACATTTGTCTGGCCAAGAACGGCCCAATATAGCACTGGGGACTTCCGAGATCGCTACAATTCGTCCCAAGAGGATTCCAAGAGGGCCTCAAGACGGCCCAAGAGGGCCTTAAGACAGCCGAAGAGAGGCCTAAGGCGGCCCAAGCAGGGCCCCACATATCCCCAAGACGCTTTCAGGAGAGCCCCAAGTTGGACACAGGAGGCTCCCAAGAGGGCCCCAAGAGCGCCCCAAGCTGGCCCAAGCCCCCCAAGACGGTCCAAGATGGCCCCATAACGGCCCAAAAGAGCTCCAAGAGGCCCCCAAGAGACCCTCAAGATGCTTTACATAACCTCTCAAGCGGCCCCCCAGGATCGAGCGGCGAGGTAATCTTTCGAACGCCTAGGCTCCCAAGAGCGAGCAATGACGCTAAAAGCTCTGAAAGCTCTGAACGCTAAAGCTCTGATCACCAAGGCCCACAAGAGCTCACAGTGACGTAAAAAGCTTTGAACGCCAGTGCTCCACAGAGCGAATGGCGATGCAACAAGCTCTGAGCATCAAGGCTCCCCATAGCTCACAGTGACGTGACGAGATTTGGTCACCAAGGTTCCCGAGAGCTCAGAGCGACGTGACAAGTTCTTAGCACCGAGGCTCCGAAGAGCGAAAGGTGACGCACTCCGCAGCCAGTTTGGCTCAAGCCTTTTGATGGTACAGGTCCTCCAGAAGTCTTGTTCCACGAAGGTGATACAGAACCCATGCCACCCCGTAGTCATGCACTCTTCTCCATACTGTATCTTCTGTTGCAGTCTGATTGGCTCACGGCCTTGAGTTTGCAGGACAATGGGGCAAATACGCTGACGAGATCGATGCCGCAGAATCAGATGTCGTGCCAAATCATGGATTTCATTGACTTCCCTGATTTCCTCACGTATGCGCCTAAAAATTGTCCGTGGTGGCCTAACTGTTCCATTCGCCATTACAGCATGTCGGACTTATATAAGCCTCCGGAAGGTCTCAAACACAAAAGTTGGGCACCATCATCTTGGGCTTCGCAGTCTTCCACGAAGTCGCAGACCGAAACATATGAGTGGAGGGCGGCAGCGGGTGCGGGCGTGGGCGATTTCAATCAGTTTTTGTTGGAGCAGGTGATGCTTGCAAAATGGCAGGGCTCAGGGAAATGCTGCACAGTAGAAAAGGGGAACTGCGCAGGCAATGAAGAGGTCATAATCTACCCGTCATTCATTCTGCATTTCCATATGGAGTTCGGGTACAATTGGCATATGCTTTGGCAAGACTCCCTTCACGGAAAGGTAATCTACGAGTATTGGAACGCCATATATACACGTCATTGGAAAAAAGGCCGCAAGCCTATGATCGTAACACACCTGAGCTACACTTGGGATTCAAGACTTTCTATCGAATTTCTTAAAGTTCTATCTCATCGCTTCCCCAAGGAATTCGTAAAACATATAATCATAGGTGGCCTGGAATCAGACATGCGATCCAAGGACAAAAAGCATATGAAAGAACTGCCCACTCTGGTCGCGCTTCCTTATCCGGTTGGGATCATCAATGCGGTGCGTTTCGCATCCAGAGATGGATCCGGATTTGATCCAAATCGTGACCGACCTATCATTATCAATTTCGAAGGCGATTGGAGCAGAGACCGTGATGGCGGGAATATTGCCAGGCCCTATTTGCATTCAAAGCTTGAGAAATACATCGGGAAATCAAGCCCACATGTGCACGTTTGTAGAGAGTCGAATGCAAGGACAGACGCACAGCACATTTGTGGACAGGAGATGACAAGAGGTTTTGAATCGTCGTTGAACAGCGTATTTTGTTTAGAGCCACCTGGGGACACCCTTACACGATCCCATTTGTACGTGGCAGTTCTGACTGGTTGTGTTCCAGTTATTTTTGATGGCGGCCATACATCGTATGGGCCACACGAAACTGCATGGGCTTGGAGAAAAACAAATGCATCTCATTCTTCGCGCTCTGTAGATTACAAGTCTTTTGCGGTTGTGTACGAAATGGATGCGATGAAAAACGTGGACTGGGTGCAGGATCTGCTGGATATGCCTGTGAAGAATCCAGATCGATTACTTGAGCTTCGCCGTGGTCTTGACAATGTAGCGCCTCAGATGAGATATTCACCTGAAGCTAATAAGAACGACGCTTTCGATGCATTCGTTGCTGAGATCGATGACATACGCTTGAGCCATCATTGATTGACAGTCGAGCGCTTCGCTCGCGAGTCAACTCTAAGTCAAATGTGACATCATGCGTTGTCGCCGCCTTCGTCAGCTGTATGAGCAAAAAGGCGAACGGTGACGTAAACATTTATGAACACCAGAGTTTCCAAGAGCTCGCAGAGACGTGACACGCTTTGTTACCCAGGCTCCCAAGAGCGAACAGTGACGAGGCAGCCTTCGAGCGCCACGGCTCCCAGTTCGAACGATGAGGTACACGGCTCTGAACGCCGAGGCGCCCAAAAGCGCATGGTGGCGTGGAAAGCTCTTCACACCAAGGCTCTCAAGACCGAACGGCGCCATGAGCCCTTCCCGGGCAGGCTTCGGCCCAGTGACGGGCACAATTCTCTCGCCCAGGCTCCCACCCCCAGACGGCCCAATTTCGAACACAGCTTTGATACCGAGGCTCCCAAGAGCTCCAGGTGACGGAACACTCTTTCCAAGATGAGTCCGAGACGTAAGCGCTTGTTGATGCCAAGGTTCCCCAGAGGTCCCGATGACGTCAAGAGTTCTGAGCGCCAAGGCTCAAAGCGGGAGTTGTAATGTAATGAGTTCTTAACACCAGGCCCCCAAGAGCTAACGGTGACGTAAAATACATTCAATACCTTTTGCTCGAAAGGGCTACAAGTGACGCCAAAAACCTTCCGAACGCCAAGGCTTCCAAGATGAGCTCCCAGTGACGTACAAATCTCTGAACGCCAAGGTTCTCAAGAGCCGACGGTGCGATCATGAGCACTCTCTGGGAGGCTCCACGGGACCGCTTTTTCCGTTTCCGCGTCTGCCCAGGTGACGGAAAGAGTAATTTTGTGAGGGATGACGTTTTGTGAAGCGAATTTCAAACGCGCCGAACCGGTCTAACACGCCTCTCCATTGTGAGTGGAAGAGTTTTCATGGACAAGAGGACGGGAAGAGCGAGGTACAGTGGAGGCCCATGCCAAGAAACATCCTGTTTGCCCCCGGGGTGCCATGGGTTTTTTGGGTTTCCATGGTTCCGCCATTGAAAGCGCGACGTTCCCACACCAAAAATCCATGGACGTCCTGGGGTCTCAGGGTTGGGTTTCTTGTGGAAGGTTTCTTCTGGATTGGCCTCCACTGCACGAGTGATGATGGTGAGTCTGGGCGAAGCCCTCTGGGGAGGGGTCCAGTGGAGGGGCGCAGGGGGCACACGGCACACCCAGGCGTGATTTGCGCGCCTGGCCCCCAAGACGGTCTAAGAGGCGCCCAAGACGGCTTCAGGTTGGGGGCCTTGAGACCGGGGGTCACTGCGAGCGAGGGTCGGCCAGAGCGCCGGATTTTGCAGGATCCTGCCGGGCCAGGGTCGCACTGACCCGGGTTTGGGTGCAGGATCCTGTTGGATTTTGTTGGATTTTGCAGGATGTTGCAACGCCTGATTGACCCAGGTCTGCATTGACCCGGGGAAGTAGATCCCCGATCAGATATTTCCAAGATGCCCCCGAGAGAGGTCCAAAATGGCTCCAAGACAAGACGGCCCAAGAGCGCTCCAAGAGAGTCAAGACCGCCTAACAGCGGTCCCAGATGGCCTGAGACGGCCTGAAGCCGGTCTCAGAGGGCCCCAGGACGGCCCCAGAGCCTTAAGAGGATTCACGAGAGGGCCTGAGGAGGCCAAAATCATAGATTGTCCGTAAGCGTTGTCGGTTTTCCAGATTCCCGGCTTTTCGGGCTTCCGACGGCCCAGGACGGCCCAAGAGGTCCGCAAGATCGTCCCAAGAGGCCCCCAAGAGGGCCCCGAGGCGCCTGGAGAGGGGCCCTAGAGGCTCCCAAGTGGGCACCAAGTGGCTCCCAAGAGGCCCCAAGGAAGGCCCCAAAATGGCCAAAGCTCTCCAAGATGGCCCAAAAGGGCCCCACGACGTCCCAAGAGAGCCCCAAGAGGGTCCAGCAAGGCCCTCACAGGACCTCCGAGAGGGCCCGAGACTCCCAAGAGCTCAGATTGAGGTGAAAAGCTCATAACACGAGGGTTCCCCAGAGCGAGCGGTGACGTAAACAAGTCTGAACACCAGGGCTCCCAATAGCGAACGGTGACGTAAAACGCTCTGAACACCAAGGTTCCCAAGAGCCCATGGTGACGTGACAAGCTCTCAACACCACGGCTCCGACGAGCGAACGGACACGTTACGAGCTCTCAACATCAAGGCTCCCACGAGCGAGCGGTGACGTAAACACGTCCTAACAACAAGGCTCCCAAGAGTCCATAGTTGCACGGCAAGATCTTAACACCAAGACTCCGACGAGCGAATTGGGACGTAAATCATTACGAACACCAAGGACCCCAAGAGTTCACAGTGACGTGACAAGCTCGTAACACCAAGGCTACCACGAGCGAGCGATAACGTAAAAAGTCCTTCACACCAAAGCTCCCAGCACCGAACGGTGATGCAACAAACTCTTAACACCAAAGCTTCCAAGAGCGAACGGTGCCATGAGCCATCTCGGGCAAGTTTCTGAAGCGCCCTGACAGTTCTCGTGCTGGCCCAGGTCCCCAGAGGGATGTAGATAAACGAGTTGGTCTGCAGAGCGACACTCAGAGGGATGTAGACACCCGCGTACAGGGAATCTGTCTGTAAAGCGGCTATTCGAGGGATGTAGACGCAAGCTTACATGCAATTCTGTTGTAAAACATATGTTCAAAGCCTTGTAACACTTATTTAATCGCTTCGCTCATTCCGCCGGCCCTGGAGCCCTCTTTAGGGCATCTTGGGGGCCTCTTGGGGACCTCTTGGGAGTCTCTTGGGGCTCCTTGGCGGCGTCTTGGGGGCCCCCAGAGCCTCTTGGGGGGCTTTTGGGGGTCTCTGGGGGCGGGAGGGGCGGTAGTCGATTGCGGCTCCCCCCTCGGAGGCCACGATCCTTGTGAGGGGTGTCGAAAATGGCCCTCCCCTGGAGTGCTCTGGTGGCTTCTCCCGGGACCTTGCCGGGGTACTTTTCGTCCGGGGGCCCCCAGGGGCCGCTCCGCGCGCGCGAACTAGAAATATTGTTAACCAGTTACAGGAGATCTTAGCACGCCTCTGGCCCGTTGGGCCGGCGAATTTCACATTGCGTTTCATTGCACGACGAGCTTCAAAGCCCCAATAGGATGTTAAAATATTTGGAAGACGCCCTACGACGACCTTCATACCAACATACCGACCTATGGCCCTTCATGTGTGCGCACAGCTGCACACTACCATATACCAGTGTATGTACATATAGGGTTGAGCACATGCACGCACGCATCCATGCTTGCTTACATAGCCACAACGCGCGCATACGCATGTACACACATACATACATACATACATACATACATGCATGCATACATACATACATACATGCATCCATACATACATACATGCATACATACATACCTGCATACATGTATACATACATATACATATACATATACATATACATATTCATAAACATACACATGCACCTATACATATACATATACATATACATACATACATACATACATACCTACATACCCACACACATGCATACATACATACATACATTCATACATACATACATACATACATACATACATATATACATGCATGCATGCATACCTACATACATGCATGCATACATACATGCATGCATACATACATACGTACACATACATGTCTACATACACACATGCATACAGACATACATATATACACACATGCATACATACCTACCTACCTACATACATACATACATACATACATACACACATACATGTATGCATGCATACATACATACACACATACACACATACATACTTACATACACACATAACTACATACATGCATCCAGTCAGACATGCATACATGCATGCATCTGTGTTTCCCGACGCACGAGCCTACACATATCCACATACATGTTTCCATACATAGATGCATTCCATTCCACACATACATACACATACACGTAGCTGTCGCCCCGACTCTTTGTTGGGGTGGCACGAGGCTCTCAGTACGGAAGGTGGTGTGAGCCCTGTGGCCCGAGTACGTCACAATGACGGAGACGGCTTCGAGACACAGGCTACCACACTCAGACGGCCCAGTGACGGACGCAGCTTCGACCCCAAGGACCCCAAGAGTTCCAGGTGACGGAATACACATGTTTATGCGAGTCGGTAGCGTAGCTCCTAAGAGCGAAAGGTGATATGACCTATCTCTTATCGCCAATGCTCCCAGGAGCGAGCGTCGACGTGAGAGGTTCCGAACGCCAAGGCTCCAAAGAGCGGGCGGTGCCATAAACCTTCTCGGGCAAATTCCTGAGGCGCTCTTGCCGGCTCAGTCACTTCCAGGGCCCATTGAGGGCGGAATCGATATCGAATCGGATCGATCGAGGAGGATCAGGAGGTAGAGGGAGGAAGGAGGAGGATCGAGAATCGAGGAGGATCGAGGAACGAGGATCGAGGATTCTGGTTTGTTGCCTTATTTTTTGGGGCCTCTGGACGCGACGACACTCGTGACGGAAAGAGCAAGGTTTGAGTGATAAGGTTCTCGCGGGGCGAAGCCCTCTCTGGAGGGTGTCCAGGGAAGGGGCCAAGAGGAGGGCACCGGCATTAACACGCCCCCCCCGCACACCCAAGACGGCCCACGAGGTGGAGGGTTTCTCCGAAGGGCTTAGGCGACCCGTCCTCCTCCTCCTCCTCCTCCTCCTCCTCCTCCTCGTCCTCCTCCTCCCACTGAAAGAGAAAGAGAAAGCGGACACGAAGCGAGCAAGGGAAGAACAAGCGGTCAAGAAGCGATGGGGCGAGGAAAAGCTCTAGCGTCCACAGGCAACGAGAAAAATATGGAAGAGCACCCATCCAGGGTTTTTTGTCGGCGCCCGGGTGGAAGGCCGAAAACCACCCAGGCGCCCGCGACAGGGCGCACTTCCAAAAGCGGCAAGGGGTGGAGGTGAGGAGGGAGGAGGGAGCCAGGAGGGACCGGAAGGCGGAGGAGACGGGCGCGCGGCGGGGAGGCGTGAGCCACCAGACCCCCCCCTTAGGCGCTCGCGCCACCCGCCGGAGGCACGGAGCGGGGAAGGAGAGGGGGGGAGAGGGATTTGAACAGAAAAATTGGGCGGAGGGGGAACGGACTCCCCCTCCTCCTTCCCCTCCTCCCCCTCCTCCTCCTCCTCCTCCTCCTCCTCCTCCTCCTCCTCCTCGGGTCGCCTACGGCCCTGGGGGAAACCGTGCAGTCCAGAGAGGGGCAAAGCGGAGGGCACAGGCATTCACACGCCCCCCCACACACCCAAGACGGCCCAGGAGGCCCAAGATCACCAAGCAAGTACCACCACTCGCAAAGTGCCTACTCGCAAAAACCGCCGTCAACACACATGTTCGCCTCCATGTAGTGGATCGTAAATCCCCCGCGGCGGATCCAGGTAATTTGCGAGAAGTTAGTTTGCGAGTAGTGGAACGCGCTTGTCTACAAGAGAGGCCAACGACGGCTCCAAGACGGCCCAACAGCGCTCCAAGGAACCTTTAGACCGTCCGAGAGCGTTCGACGATGGCGTACGTTGGTCTCAAGACGGTCCGAGAGGGCCCCAAGACAAGCCAACAGGCCCTTCAATGGATTCCCAAGAGGGCCTGAGGAGGGCAAGCACACATTGATTTCCCTTTGGGTCTTTGATGTTGAATTGTGTTTAGGGTACTCGCCTTTTCGGACCCAGGACAGCCCAAGAGACCGCAAAGATCGCTCCAAGACGGCCCCAAGACGGCCGAAGAGGGCCCCAAGACGGCTCCAGAGGGCCCCGAGACGGCCCAGGACTGCTCCAGAGGGCCCAAAGACGGCCCAAGAGGGCCCCAAGACGGCTCCAGAGGGCCCCAAGAGGCTTCCAAGAGAGCCCCAAGACGGCCAAAGCCCTCCAAGACCGCCCCAAAGGGCTCCAGGACGGCAAGAGCGGGCCCCAAGACGGCCCAAGAGGGCCCCAAAATGACCTCCACAAAACCCGGGAAAAGCCACAGTTAATGAGTTTCGCAAGGTTATTGTTGGATGTTTCTCTCATCACGTAACAGACTGTAAACACCAAGGCTCCGATGTATGGGCGGTGGTGCGAGCCCTCGGGCCTCACGACGGCGCAGCGACGGACATGGCTTTGACGTCAAGGCTCCTGCCCCCAGACGGCCCAGTGACGGGCACGGCTTTGACGCTAAGGCCCCCAGGAGTTCCAGGTTGCGGACAATACATGTTTAGGCGAGTCTTTGGCGTAGAATGGTTCGAGCGCCAAGGTTCCCGAGAGCTCCCGATGAGGTGAGAAGCTCTGAACGCCACGACTCCCAGAACGGACGGTGACGTTGAAAGCTTGTATCGCGTGACAAATTCTTAACACCAAGGCTCACAAGAGTGAGCGGTGCCATGAGCCATCTCGTGCTAGTTTCTGTGATGATGATGTTGATGACGATGATGGTGATGATGATGTTAATGGTGATGATGATAATGGTGATTGTGATAGTGATGATGATGGTGGTAATGATGATGCTAACGCTGATGTCGAGGATGAAGATGAGGACGATAATGGAGATGAGGATGAGGATGAGGACAAGGATGATGAAGATGAGGATCAGGATGAGTGTCAGGGTGACAATGAGGATGAGGATGAGGATTGTGACGATGCTGATGACGATGATGATGCTGATCGCCGTCGTCGTTGTAAACTTCGTCAGGTAGCAGGACGAAGAGGAGGAGGAGGAGGATTGGAATGATATGGAGATGAGGATGATCATCATCATGAGGATGAGGATGAGGATGATGAGGATGAGGATCAGGGTGAGTGTGAGGATGACGATGAGGATGAGGATGAGGATGATGATGATGATGATGATGATGATGATGACGATGATGATGATGCTGATAATGATGATCGTCGTCGTCGTTGTAAACTTCGTCAGGTAGCAGGAAGAGGAGAGGGAGGTGGATGATTGGGATGATAATGAAGATGATGATGATCATCATGATGAGGACGAGGATGTTAGTTATGCTGAGGATGAAGATGAATATTAAGATGAATATGATGATGATGATGCTGATCATGAGGATGATGCTGCTGCTGATGATGATAATGATGCTGATGAGGATGATGATTATGATGATATTGATTATGATTATGATGACGATCGTCGTCGTCGTCGTTGTAAACTCCGTCAGGTAGCAGGAGGTGGGCGTAGGGTAGAACACAGCCTCTGGGTGCATGGACTGGGCTACCCGGGTGTCGGGACCAGGCTGCCCTCCGCCACGGGTGTAGGGGCGTGGGCTGCCCTGGAGGATGAACGTGGGAACTGCGATGGGTGGACAAAAAGTGTCCACACCCATCGCGCCAATATGATACGACATCGAATTGCGTCGAACAAATATCCATAGCCCCCAGCCCCTCCAACCCAAGTTGACGGGGTTGGGTGCGAGGCGACGCGCGGGGGACAAAATATGGACACTTCAACGTGAGAGGAGGCGAGCCACATGTATATTGCAATTGTCGTTGCCATCATGCCTGATTGTCTTCACGCCGTCGGCGTGGACATTCCTTGTCTGGGCACCGTGACCTGCTTCCTTCGGGCCTCCTTGAGCTTTTCTTGGGGATGACGTAAAAAGTTCTGGACCCAAGGCTCCCACGAGCAGGGTGGGACGTAAGCATCTCTCTGAGAACCGAGTCTCCGAAGAGCGAACGTTGCCATGAGCCATGTGGGGACAGCTCCTCAATCCGCTCTTTCCGTTCCCGTGCCGGCCCATGTTCTAACACGCCGGCCACGTGCAGGCGCGGTGGCGGATAGCAGCGTGCGGCCCAGCAGTGAGCCGCACCCGTCTTCAAATCGGTGCTCCCAGGACCGTTCTTGGAGCCATTTGGTTAGGCTTTTTTGTCTCGTTCTTGGAGCGCTCTTGGGGTATCGTGGGCCTCCTTGGGGGCCTCTTGGGCCCCTCTTATGAGCCTTGGGAGGGCCATCGTGGAAGCCATCGGTCAAAGAAGGGCCGGTACTCAAGTAGCGTCCCCCCGCCTGGCCACCGAAAACGAGCCTTCTGAGGCGTTCTTGGGGCGGTCTTGGGCGCTATTGGGGCGGTGTTGGGGCCTTTCTGGGACCCTTCTCAGGGCCCTCTTGGGTCATCTTGGAGCCATAGTGATTCAGGCGAGGAAGCAAAGAACATGAACAACATACGCAATGTGTTTGAAGGATTGTGGCTTCTTAGGTGCCTCCTTCGGGGGCTCGGAGGGCACTTAGGGCCGCCCTGTGTCGGTCGTGAGGGCTCTTGGAGGCATGTTGGGAGCTATGTTTTTATTTATCTTGGGTTATCTCGAGCGATCTCGGATGACATCTTGAGATCTGTGTGGCCCTCTTGGAGCCCTCTTAGGCCAACAGGGAGCGTCTGACACCTCGCGAACCCCCCCTCCAGACCCAGGGGTATGGGGTAGAGGGGTGTGAAACCTTCGCCCTGGAGGGCAAGAAGGGGGTTAGCAGAACGAGCTCGTTTGATCACTCACGCCCAGCGGACTGCTGGGATTTGAACAAAATCTCAAGGGAAAACCTGCCTTTGAAAAAGAGCCGCCCACGATCCTTGTAAGTGTTACACTGCTGCAAACTTGTAAGACGAATGTGCGCGTCGCTAAGGCCAGAGTCCACATGGTCAAAAGAAACTGTTCTCCATCCTTAACGTTGCTGCAATGACCTCGGTCCATCTCTGAAGTTGTTGCAAATCTTGAAGACGAACGTGCGCGAGATGAGAGCTTCATTTTGAAAACGAGCCGCTCCCAGGATCATAAACGGTGAGGGAGTCTGAGGCGGATCTCCCAGCCCGCCCTGCCGACACCTCTTGAATGATGATGATGAGGAGGAGGAGGAGCTTTCGAATGTGGCGGCGCAGGAATGGGACCCCGTCAAGACTGAAGAACTGGAGGAGGAGGAGAAGGAGGAGGCGAAGGAGCATGATGGCAGAGGAAGAGGACGGAGCCGAACGAATCGCCAGCGAGCCACGGCAGCGCCCAGGGGTTGCAACGCGCTCTTTTCATGGGTGAATGTGTGGCTCTCTGCTCGGCGCGACCTGCCTCTCTGGCCATGCAGTGTGTCTGGACCCCCATAGCAGGCAGTCTTGGGAGCAAGCGCCTCGCCGCACGGTCCCGGACCTGTCCGACACTCCGTCTGGCGTTCTGTCTGCCGATCTCGCGCACGGGACAATTCTTGTCGGCGATGGTCCCCCGTTGAGACGCGGGAAGCGGGGAGGGACATCGGCGGGACAGCCCGTCGGGCACTGAACCATCTGTGGCATTGCTTGTCCCTTGCTGTGGTCGGTGACCTTCTCTCGCCCTTGCACGCAGCTTCGCCTGGCCCGCACGCGCCAATTCGTCCGAACTGAAGCCGCAACCGCGGCCTCTCCTCTTGACTTCGGCCTCGCACCCAACCTCGGATGAGACTGTCCTGGTGGTCTTGTTGCCTGTGCACCGGCGATACCCGCTTGGAGCAGCGCACTGGCGCAGTTGTCTCTGTGTCGCACCCAGCCTTGGTCGAAACTGCGTCCTCTCGTGCCCTTCCCCGCCTCCTCTGCCTTCCTCAGCGGCTCTCAAACGACCCCGTCTTCCGGTGGCCGCGTCCGGGGGCCGCCCATTCTTGCCTGGCCCTCTGTGCGCCGAGCGACAAACACAGCGAACGACGACGAACGACAGCTGTTGTCGACGACGACAAGAATGATGACGACGACGGCGACCACCACCACCACCACCACCACCAGGACGATGACGACGACTCTGACGACGACGACGACGACGACGACGACGACGACGACGACGACGACGACGACGACGACGACGACGACGGCGTCACGAACGGCGACGACGGCGGCGACGACGACGGCAACACGAACGGCGACGACGACGAGTTCCACGAGTGCGCCCGTCCTCGCCCAGGTCGGAGTGGTCCGCCTGCAGCAGCACGTGCCGCGGCACCAGGAGGGGCCCGCCTCGCGGGGGGGGGGGGAGAGCCTCTGGGCACGCGGAGCCTCCACAGAGGGGCGCGCCAGCCGTGATGGGCCCGCGTTCCACCACCACCACCATACGCTGGAGGGGGGGAGGAGGGGGAGGACGAGGAGGAGGAGGAGGAGGTGGAGGAGGAGGAGGTGGAGGAGGAGGAAGAGGAAGAAGAGGAGGAGGAGGAGGGCCCCCTCCCCCTCCTTCTTGTGGTGGTGGTTGTGGACAACATGCCCAGCAAGAGGGGCGCCGGCCAAAGTCTCCCTCGATGCACACGACGTTGGGCTGCTGTGGTCGTCGGCGCGTCGAGGAGCCATCGCCGAGTTGTTTGGGGGGCCAGATCTGGTGCCCCCGATCTCCTTTGGGCTCCCCGTTCTTTTTTAACAGGCGCTAGTCAAGTTCGCGGAACAATTCTGCGCAGGTCTCTGGAATTCTGGCTTGCTTTACCGTGAAGTTCAGGCTTCTGCATGCGTCGCATGTAATTAGAGGAGCGGCGCTCTGATGAATGCCGGAGTCGCATGGGCCGGCGCTGGGGCCAGGCGAGTCGCCTGGGCCCCCCGCTCTCTCGCCTCCGCGGCACCGCGCCGACGCCAGAGACTGTCAGCAGGGACCGACCACGGCGCCGTGTAGTTTTGAGTCGGGCATGTCCCTCTACAGGAGGGATATTCAAAGATAGGCAAACATAGTCAGCGGACGAGTTGTCGATTAGTTTGGTTCGACTGTGTTCGAACATGTAGGGGTACATGCCCGACCTAAGTGTAGCTATGTTTGGGCCCTTGTTTCGTTTATCGTTTCGTCTTTCGTTGTTGTTTCGTTGGTGATTTAGACACCCCGCTTCGTCGTCCGTGTTCGTGTGGCACGGGCTTCTTTCTAATCGTTCGTTTTAAACGTTAGGCCTCGTTCTGTTGTTCGTCGTAAGCGCCATTCCGTTTTGAACATTGTTCTGGTCGGCCCTTGGATTTCTGCCCGCGCGCATGCCGTCCAAGGTTCGAGGACCCATGTCTGGGGGTGTCTCTGCCAGCCTCTTTGGGCCTCCCGGGAAGCTTCTCGTCACCACGCTTGGGTTTGCCAGCAATTTCTTGTCCAAACGTGTCCCTGAAGAGGCTCGGGGGTCGTGAACAAAAACAAGCCAAATGTGTCTCGCAATTTCGGGGGAGGGGGGGGAGCGTTTCTTGGGCCCCAGGACAGTCACCCAAATCGAGCTGGGATGAAGGCCCTTTCCAAGGGAAGGGACCCAGAGCCCTGGCACATGGTTCCTGCGTTTTTTGTATGACAAACATACCGTCAAGAGTTTGTGGTGGAGCAGCCGAAGAAGGAGTGACGTCATGAGGCCCCCCTTCCCCTCCCGTCTCTTTCTCTCCTCTGTCTCACGGGGGTCCAAAAGTGCCCCATCAGAAGGAGAAGGAGAAGGATGCGAAGTCAGGAGGAGGACGAGAAGTCATGTGGGGAGGGCGGTGATGATGATTAGGAGGAGGAGGAAGATGAGAAGGGGGAGCGAGAAAGAGGAGGAGGTGCAGAAGCAAGGAGGAGGGAGGAAGAGGAGGGCCGAGGAGAGACGTCGAGGAGCGAGGGGCGATAACAGGAGCGAGGGGTGATGGGGATGGGATGGGCGGAGTGATGTGAGTCTGTCCAGCACTGCAGGAGGAGCAACGTCGGCGAGCACCTCCTCCTCCTCCTCCTCCTCCTCCTCCTCCTCCTCCTTCGCCATCTCCTCCTCGGAGCAGACCAGGCCTTTGGAGGGGGGCAGGTCGCCCAGGCGGGGGCCCCTGGAAGGCACGGGGCGGGGTGGACAGCAGAGGCACGGCGCAGCGCAGCACCGCACCGCACGGGCCACGAGCGGGCGGCACCCGCTCGACCGGGGCGCCGCTTCGGGCACTGTTGCCGCCAATCTCCGGCCCGCATCAGACATGAACACAGTGCGCATTGTGCAGCACCTCTCCCGTATCTTAGCCTGCATTCGAGGGAGCACGAGCAATAAGCACAAGCGGCGTTGTGACCGATCCTGGGCCAGCATGAAGCCCCAGGAGGCGGTTGAAATTGAATTCGATTACGCGGCCTGAGCATGCAAGATGTGTTGTTCCATCGCGAGGCAGATACATTGGAAGGGTGGGTGCCTGGTCATGCGTCTGACACCCTTTTACAGTGAACGTGATTTCAATTTCATGACATTCAAGTCTATGCCGCGACGGGTACATACACGCATACACAGGGCGACGTTAAGTTTGCAAGTCCTTCTTGTGGGGTCCACATATACACGCGTGAGACCGCGCCCCCCGGCTCAACCCACGGGCCACAGTAACGGTCTTTCTTGCAATGTGCACAGCGCGCACATGACGCAGCGTTTACGGAAGGACGCGCCTCGATCGATGTCTTCTTTGCCCTTCATCGGATGAATAACTCTGACGGCGCCCGATGCGCGACAGATAGGTGTCCACACGCGCGCCCAATAGATGCCCGATGTGCGCTCGATAGATGTCGGGCGGGCACCAGACTCTAGACAGGTGCTTCGAGTCCGATAGATGTCCGACGAGGGCCCAGCAGGTCGCATAGATGACCGCAAATGCGACCAATCAGTGCCACATTTGTCCAGATGGGAGTTTGGCCAGCACGATGCCCCAAGATGTCCTATATGTGCCCAGGGAGGAGACCGATAGGTGTCCAATTGGTACCTGGCAGGTACCCGATAGGCGCGTAATGGCTGCGCGGGGCGGCACCCGATGCGTGCCCGATGCCGGACGCATGTCCGACAAGGGTCCAGTCGTTGTCCGATTGGTGCCCGTAGTTGTGGCCGACAGGCGTTCGATTGCTGTCCGAAAGGTGCCCAGATAGGTTGCCGATTGGCGTTCAGACAGGTGACCGATCGATGGCCGACGCGCGCCCGATAGGTGTCCAGATAAATGCCAGCTTTGCATTAGACCTGTAAGCGATAGCTGTCCGATAGGTGCCCAGATAGGAGGCCAACAGGTGTCCAATTGGGGCCTCAAAGGTATCGGATAGGTGTCCAGATCTGTGCACGATGGGTACCTGGTAGGTGTCCGATAGCTGTCCGAGTGGCCCCCAAATAATATGTGTCCGATAAGTGCCCGATAGATGTCCGATGGGTGCCCGATAGATGTCTGGTAGGTGTCCGGCAAGAGTCCGATAGGTGCCCGATAAGTTTCTGACAGGTCTCCGATTGGTAGGTGTCCTATAGATGTCTGGCAGATGTCCGATAGGCGTCCAAGAGGTGGCCAGATACGTGACCGAGAAGTCTCTGACAGGTGTCTGGCAGCTGGCCGATAGGGGCCCACATTTGTGGCCGTCTGGTGTCCGAAAGGTGTCCAGATATGTGCCCGATAGGTGTCTTGTAGATGTCCAGTAGTTGTCCGTATGGTGCCAATGCGGGTGTCCGATTGATGCCCGATGTGTCGGATAGGTGTCCGACAGGTGTCCGATCGGTGTCCAGATGCAAGCCCGATCGGCGTCGTGCCTATGTGGGTGCCCAATTCATGCCCAGTGTGTGTCTGCCAGGTGTCTGACAGGTCTTCGACAGGTGTCCAGATAGGTGCCCAGATCGGTGTCCAGCGGGTGTCCGACAGGTGCCCCGCATGTGCCGTCATAGGTGTTCGACAGGTGTCCGTTGGGCGTCTGATAAGCAGATGTCCGATAGATGTCCGATGGGCATCCAGTAGCTGTCCGATAGGTTTCCCGATAGGTGGCCGATCGGTTTCAGATTTGCGCAGGGTAGATGTCACACATGTGTCCGATAGGTGACCAGACGGGCGTCCGATCGTTTTCAGATAGGGCCCGATGGTGGCCGGGTACGTGCCCGCTGCAATTCGTTCGATCCCGAATTTTATTGGTGCTCCACGTAGCCCACCCAAATGCCTTCTTGCAGTTATTTGATTGCACGCGTTTACCAATGCCAGTTCTGCGTATAAAACACGGCCATAAAGAACAATTGTTCAACGACAGTTGTTGTGCGTGCGATGGTTCGTTGCATTCGGATTTGTCCGACTGTTGACCTGCAACCGCGTCTTTGTTTTTACTCTTTATTGTCTTGGCGCGATTGCTAGCTAGCATTGCATATGGGTTGTGATCGCACTGATTGCATTGCAGGCTGCCACTGTTACTTGCTGCTGTTACTGTTGCTTTAAGGCGCCATGCCACTGCTAGCGTTGCGGTTGCCGCTTCTTCTGTTGCAAGGACCGCCGGTTATGCTTGAATTGTTCGACTTGTTACGCGTATTCGTGATGGTGCTATTGCTACGGTTGCAACACGTACAGCACTGGCATAGCTCGCGTGACCACTACCCCGAGCATCAATATCACTGCCACGGCGGCGGCTACAATGATTATTCTGACGATTCGTACAACGCAGCGTTGACGGGCGCAGAGCAGGACCATGTCGAGTAGAGAAAAAAAAGCGGACTGCAGCGGAAGACGAGAAGCGCATGGCAGGGGGACGCGGAGCAACACAGGGTATAGCTGAGATGGCGAAGTAGAGCCGAGCAGAGAAGACGCCCGCTCGCCCGGCCTCTTCGACGCCCCCCCCGAAGGCCCCCCGGGGGCGCCCCGAGTGCCCCCCGGAGGCTCCCCAGAGCCGCCACAGGGCTCTCGCGGGCCCCTCCTCCACCTCCTCCTCCTCCTCCTCTTCCTCCTCCTCCTCCGCTCTCTTCCTCCTCCTCCTCCTCCTCCTCCTCCTCCTCCTCCTCCTCCTCCTGCTCCTGCTCGTTCTCCTCCCCCTTCCTGCTGGATCCCGCCAGGCCGCGCGCGGCCCCGGGGCGAGGGGGCCCCTCCCTTGCGAGCCCCGCAGGGGGCCGAGGCAGGTCCGCCCCTAGCTGACGGGGGGGCTCTGAGGGAGATCCCAGATGGGTTCGCCCGGGGGCGGCCGTTCTGACCGCCCCCTCGGTGCTACCCCAGGGCGCCCGCTGAGCGACGCGTTGAGTCGACGCTTCGAAGGAAAGGATGCCCGGTACGGATTGCGGCGGAACGCCCCGCATGGCGCCCATTTCAAAACAATCGGGATGGACGTTGAAACTGCGTCCAATCAGCGCGTGAAGCTACATCAGGAGTTTCGAAAGTTCGGGCATCACTTAGCGCGCTCTCAGCGGGGGGCCCCGCTCACGCCTGGTCGGCGATGAGTGCGCGATTAGCGCGCGATGAGTACGCGATGAGTTCGCGATTAGTTTGCGATAGGCGCGAGATCTGCGCGCGAGTCGTGCGCGGTTGGTTCGCGATTGGCGTGGCACGAGTGTACGATTAGTGCAACATCAGCGCGCGATGGGCGCGCCCAGAATGCGCGACTGCTGCGGGATGGTAATGATGCGCGATGGGAGCCTTTTCCCGTTCGTGAGTCGGTGGGCTGGAAGCCCCCGATCAAAGTGCCTCTCGCGAGCGTTCGAAGTTCTAAGTCACCTTCTAAGCCGACCATGTAGTCCAGATTGTCTTGTCTCCTTATAGTTGGCGACGTGGGCTGGCGTATATTTGGAGCAGTTGCACTGGGCCAGTCGTAATCCAGATAACGTAGGGATACCGGCCACTGCGCCAATGCTTCCTGACCAGCTGATTCGCATTTTTTCTGCGCGCGCGACATATGAAGTACCGCACTGGCGCGGGAAAGGCCATCGACCGCGCCGCTTCTTGCAGGCACCCCCAGGCGCGTCGCCCAGTTCCTGGTCGCTGGCCCTCCTGTTGGACGTGTGCGTCCAACAATCTGAGATGCCATCCTCGCCCCATGCCCAATCTGCTCTGCGCTGAGGCAGCTGTTCGTCGAGACCGGCTGATCCGCGGCCCAGGAACCCATCGCCTCGCGACTGCCTGGCAGGGGCATCGGGTCGGCGGCCGCCCGACGTCTCCCCACAACGGTTCGGATCCTCAATCGGAGGCGGCGGCGCGAGGGCTGGCCTCGCGGGGGGTCGCGGAACCTGGCCGCGCCTTGCGGGCCGCATTCCGGGCGATAGCGGTCAATGGCTTATGAGAAAATGCATTCGCTCGTGATTTGGAGTCACTCGCAGCGCAAGCGTTCAGCCTTGGGGTCGCGCATTCATGCCTCGACGCATTTTCCTGGCCGCGCGCGGCGCGCGCGTCAGACGCCCGGGCGCGCGCCGTTCTCAGTTACGATCAGGGCGACATAAGAAGCGGCGCCCAGCTGGTCGGGGCGGGCGCCCCCTGTCGTGGCCGAGCACCTGCGTTCCGCCACGTGGCGCTTTGTTTGCCGACGGAAGCTGTCGTGCTTGATTTTCTTGGCGCGGTGCGAGTGACCCGAGCTGTGGAGTTCGATGTATGTTTTCGCTGGCCATTTCGGCTGCGCCATTGGACTTGTTTCGGGGCGCCCAGGGGGCCTTCCGCGCACGCGCCGCGCAGGGCCCCCTGGCATCGCGCTGAGAGCGCCAGCCCGCGCGCGCTTGACCCCAGAAGCTCGCGCAGTTTACCTCTCACCTTTTGGCCCCGCCCAGCGCGGCGACGAAGCTTGCAAGGAAGGGGCAGCCACTACAATTTAGATGGCAAGCGCCGCGCGCTATCATTAGTTACGGCAGAGAATAGTTTCAGCGGACACCTATCGGAGAGCTATCTGGACAGTTATCGGACACTTAGTGGACTCCTATATGGCCACCCACCGGACACATACCGGGCGCCTACCAGACACAGGTCGGACATCTATCGGACACCCATCGGACACGCATCTCTATTTGAGACCAGTCGGACACTGTTCGGGCACGGATCGAAGTCTCATCTGGACATTTACGGGACACCGACCAGCCAGGCACCTGAAGGACACCGACCTGGTCGCCTATCGGATACCTACTTGGCATTTGTCGGGCACCTATCTGGCCGCCTATGGGACAGCTACCAGCCACCAATCAGGGCACCTACTGGACTCTTCGCGGACATCTGTAAGACACCGATCCGACACAGATGCGCGCACCGATTGGACATATATATATATATATATATATAGATATATATAGAAATGACACTTATCAGACACCTATCGGGCCACGTTTGTGGCACCTATCGGACACTTACCAGGCAACATCTCGGAACTTATCGGGCAGCTATCGGACACCTACCAGACATTTGCGTGGACACTGCGTGCACCAATCGGATTTTTTCATCGGACGCCCATACGGTCAGTTTTCGGACAAGTACCGGACACCTGTCGGACGTCTATCATACACATCTCGGGCACTTGTTTGGGCAGCAATCGGACACTCATCGGATTCCCATCGGATACCCATCGGGCATATATCAGCACCTTTTTTCCGACACTTGACCGCGGCATCCAACGTATACTTATTGGGACATTGGCCAGGCACCCAATAGTTATTTTTTTAGTTTCTGCTTTCGGCCGGAAAGGATGCGAAGGCCCAGTGCAGCCGCAGCCGTTTGCGTGGTTCGCACAGTCGTTGCTGGCGGACGTGCGATCATGTGAATCAGATTGGGCCACCGACGGCTCTTTTTCACACTGGGCCATTTTTGTACACTAGTGATATGTAAAAGCATGGTCAATACGAGTAATCGTTATACGAATAATGATGCTGATGCTGGCTAACGAATGTTAATACGAGTAATAGTAGTAGTGCGAATGCCATGGTCACAGTAATACGAAAGGTAATTCTGTTGGGCCATCCGTGTTGTTGCGTGTGCCCCTATCATGTTTTCTCTCTTTAGCCCCCCTGGCGCATTACAGTTGCTGCTGTTGCTTGGCGTTGTTGCTCCTGCCCCTCCTCATTCCCTCTTCTTTACAGGTGGATTGATTAATTGGTTAGTTAGTTGTGGGTTGCTGTTGGCCGCTGGTTCAGGCCTTGTGGGCAAGTGGCATCGTTCGTGCGACAGTCAAATGATCTGGCATCCTATTCCTCCTCCCTCGCAGGTGCGTACATGAAGGGAATTGTAATATGTGTTAGGATGGCCTTCCATAAAGTCGTGGAGGGTCCTGGATTGTAGTGGGCAGGCCCCGAACAATGACTAAAGGACCTGAAAACAGATTTTCGTAGGCAAGGCCCTTATTGGAGACCTCTTCAGGGCTCTGGGTAGCTGACTGGATGGCCGTGGATAGTTGGTCGGAGGGCCTTGGATAATGTCCGGAGTGCCCCTGGGATAGGTTTGGACAATCGACCGGAGAGGTTCTAGATGTCCCATCAACAGAGAAAGGCAGTTTTCCATGAGTTGTTGGTTTGGAGTGTGTTCTCTAGTCGCACGCTTATCGAGGGAGGATTGATCAGGATCATTGATGAGACGATCCCGTATTGATCAGCGAGTAAATCGACCGCCTTGCGTTTGGAGGCCAGGTGATGTTGACTCATGTGTTGTGGCAGCCCGTGGCCTCCACGGGTACGAAGCCACGCGAGCTTGGTCATGCAAGACGTCGGAGGGGCAGGCAGCGGAATCGAAACGTCAAGGTCTTCCAGAGCGGCGAGGGCCGGAAGTGCAACGCGGAGTCCCTCCAGGAGACGTCGCCCTGCAGCCCCGGCCCAGGCGAGGACGCTCCAGAAGGCTCCCCGTCTCGCTTCCAGCGCGGGTTTGGCCCGAGGTGTCCCTGGCCCAAGGTGCCCGCGGGAGTTCGAAGGAGGCTCCCGCGGCCTCCGGAGCGCACCTCACGAAGCCCAGAGGGCCCCAGTGCTTAGCTGTCTCGGTACGCACGTTTTGATACGCAACACGTACCGTGCCCAAAACGTTTGTGTCAATACGTTGCGTGTTGATTCAATGTATTGGCCCACGTTTTGGCGAACGTATCGCGTCAGACCTACGTTTTCAGGGTCTTTGCTGAGCTCCGTTTCAATACGCTACGTGTCGCGTGTTGCGTATCGAGGCAGCTAAGCCCCAGTGGCTATGATGTTCCAACCTACTTTAGCCTTGATCACCAGAAATAATTTCGAGCACCGAGGAAGTACGTGCCAAAACTGGAGGATTTTCACGTTCCGTGCCCTGGGAGGCGATACTCGTTCGACATTCTTTCGATATTATGTTCTGGGTGCTCGACGTTATTTCTGGGATGGGGTCCTTAAGCACGATGGGAACAACATCACCCAATGGCTCCAAAATGGAGCGGGAAGCCGGGAGCATTTTCGGCCAGGGACACCGTCGGCACCCCCCCTCCTTTGGCGCGCGTGCATTCGATTTCTTCGCGCCGTCTCACCAGTGCTCTCCATTCCTGTCCACCCCCTTCCGGCCCTCCCCCTCTCTGCCTCCCAGTCTTGCTAACAATTGATGTATTATTTCGTGCACGCATGTTCCGCACCTGACCGCGCCAGTGTCAGTATACCACCTGAGTACGTTTTGCACGGTTCTACAGAGCTCTCCCGAAAAAAGGAGAGCCATCTTGGGGCCGTGTGTAAAGCGGCGATATTGTGCTGTAGCAGGGCGTGGCTGTAATAGTGTAGGGTTGTTGCATTGTCTTTTGGGAGCTTCGTTCGGCTCTTTTGGGGGCTATATTGAAATCAATCTGGCCTGCTTCAGGGTCTTGGGGGCGTCTTCAACAAAATGGTTTAATGATTCCGAGCTTTCTCGAAGAGTCTTGGAAGGGCCATCTTGGGGCCGTTTTGGAACCTTTCGGAGAGCTTGGGCCATCTCGAGGGGTTCTCAGGCTGTCATTGACCGTTTTTGTGATGTTTGGTTGTCGTTTCGAGCGTTCGGCAGTGTCTTGAAGCTCTCTAGAGCCTTCCTGAGGCTACCCAACGCCGAAGAGCATCGTAAGCAACAACTTAGATCGATCTTTTCGCCTGGCGTTCAAGAGCCTTGTGGGAGACCTCATCGGGTGCCCCGGGGCCTGGGGACATGGAAAAAGTGCCAGGCTTCGGTGAGGTCTTGGAGCAGTCTTGGCTGGTCTTGGTGTATCTTGCGTCGTCTTTCGGGCTGTCTTAGTGCCACGACGCGCGTCGGAGGGCAAAGTGCAGGGAGGGGGCGACGAGCGGGGGTCGCCCCCTGGAAACTACAGGTGCGCTTGCGCACGTGACAGCACACATCGGGAAACATGTCGGCCTCCACCATCTTTGTCGAGGACCAATGCCCGTCATTGTATCTGGCAGGCCTGCGCACAGCAGGCCATACACCACTCCCGCCGTCCGTGTCAAAAACCACTTGACAGTGATCGCGGGGCGGTCGCCCAAGATACATATTTAGCCGCGAGGTGCATTTGCATTGATATTGGCCCTGCGCGCAGCAGGCAATATGCTGACACCCCTGCCGTCTCTGTCATAAAGCAATACAATGTGCTCGCGGGCCTCACGAGCATGACCCAAGGCTTTGCCCTAAAGTGTTACTTTGTATTGTTGTTTGCAAGGATGGTGGGATGGGGCCCGCATTGGGTTGGTTGCGCATGCTCCGAACTTGGAGGCAGAGTGTGCTTTGATTTTGTTGTTTGGCAGGGATGGTTCGGGGTGCGTGATCGTAGGGTCGGCATTGTTCCTGGTTGGCTGCTGGTCGCCTGGGGAAGGAGATGTATATTCACAGGGAACTGTGGTAAACCATGGTAGACCCCTCCCCGAACAGGAAAACGGGTGGGGAGAGGAGGAAGCGCTCTAACCCACTCGCACTCCCAAGGCTTGGTGGGATCGTGGGGGAGTCTCGAGCGAGACGGCCGCTGGACCGGCTGCCAGACCAGACCGGGCGGTCGAGGGCTCCCCTTTCCCCCTCGTGTGTCGACTCGGCGTAAGAGTGACCCTTCGCCTGAGGGACCTTTGCTGTGGGCCCGATGGGTCCCCCCGATCGCCGAACGCGATGCGGTAGCAGCGGCTTGCACGCTCGTGCTTGGTCCCTCACGGCCCCCGAAAAGCCGCGCACGAAAGGTCACTCTTACCCAGGGTCACTCTTGCTTGTAGTCGATTGTGGGACTTCTCTGTGACCTTTGTTTCACCACTAACCGGGAAGCAGTTGAGAACCCATCCCCCCTTCCAGTGAAACGATAACGCATCCAGCACTTTGAAGCTTGATCGTGGCACTCTCAGGAAGAGGAGGAGGAGGAGCTGGAGGAGGAAGAGCCGGAGGAGGAAGAGGAGGGTGAGGAGGAGGGTGAGGAGGACAGTGCGGAGGAGGACAGGGAGGGGGAGGAGGAGGACAGGGAGGAGGAGGACAGGGAGGAGGAGGACAGGGAGGAGGAGGAGGAGGAGGACAGGGAGGGGGAGGAGGAGGACAGGGAGGAGGAGGAGGAGGAGGAGGAGGAGGAGGCGCTCTTACCTTCAGTCCTTACTTGTTAGAGATGTCGGTCGCGGGGGCGGGGACTAAGTATTTATGTGTTGCGGTTCGGTGCGGTGCTGAAGATATCGCTCCGCGAAATCCGCCCCCGCGAATCATGTACGTCTTCGTTTCGGTGCCAACGATAACACGGGGGAGGGTCTCATGTCGCGAGCGAAACTGTACTGGTGAGCGTGCTGAACACCTGTCTGGGAGATGCCGCGCCCCCTCCTCGGGGAGCTTCTCCAACGGCCGCGCCCCCCTGGCCGGCGCGCAGGCTGCCGCGCGGAGGCTCGGCAGTCCTGCCAGTTGGCCGCGTGGTCGCCGTGGGGCGACTGCTCGCAGACGCGCGGAGCTTAGGGGCCCCCCTGCAGACCAGCCACGGCCCGGGGGAGTGGTGGTCCTTGCGCTGGGGAGGTCCTCGTCGTCGTCGCCCTCGTCGTCGTCGTCATTGTCGTCGTCGTCGCTTTCATTCTGATGGCGCAGCCTTTCCTCTTCCGAACTCAGGCGATCGCAAACATGGATCAAGGGGGCGTGGATTAGTGACGGGTTCTGCTTCCCTGGGAAACAAATCGCGGAGTTCCGCCGCCGAGCGAGGCGGCACCAGCCGCATTTCCGCATTTGGGGGAGGTCACCTCCCCCGATCTGTGGAGTTGGCGACCGCGCGTCAGATCCACGGATTGCTGGTCCATGTTTGCGCGCCCCCGATAAGAATCAAGCGGTGGCGAAGCGTCTTGACCTGCCCAAATTGCAGGCCCACCAAAGAACGTTCTAAGCACCTCTCGTGGTTTGCACGAAATGTTCGTAGACCATGTCTGGCTGCGACAGTCTTGGCTTGATCGAGCGGTAATAATATGTTCCAGGATCATTGCGTTGCTGCTAGGACACTCATTTGTTCTGTGAACATGTCGTCGTAGGCCTACAGGACTGCCCAGACGGCCGGTGCCTTCGCAAGAAAAGATATTGATGCCGTTATTTTTCTCTCGTTGCCACGGTTGGATTCGCGTCGAAGTCCAAAAAGGTGGCGGCGGCGTCAACGCCGTCGTCGTCGTCGGTCGGTCGATCGAGGATCGAGGGTTCATGTTCGAAGATGGAAGATTGAGCGGATCTGGGCGAAGCTCGCTACAAGCCTCGACAAACTTAAGCTCAAAACGCCTCGAGCACCCCTTCAATGTCGGCCCCTCCAAAGTCGAAGGAAGCTGACGCATGCTTTACTGGGGTGCGACTCGGCAGTTCCATGCTGGCCGACAGGCCAACAAATACCTCGCACTCATTGACATCCAATCCCAGGCAATCACATGCGCAAGTACTGTGCTTTATTTGTCTGACGGCTTGCACACTGGCCTCTGGCACCGCGTGGGTCCTTCAACTTTGGACGGTGACAGCTCTTCGAGAATCCAGCTCGTGCACGTCGTCCGTCTCCGGACCACTGGCGTCGTCCAACCTTGAACGCCCGTGCTGAGGTCGCTGCCGCGTCGACGCGACGCGAACCTACCGTAAGATCCGTGACGTAGTTTTGAGCTTCCGTTTTTCGAGGGTTGTAGGATGGTCCTGCAGAGGTGCCGCTCATCACTCGGCGGCGAGTCTGGGGGGGAAGGGAGAAAGGGCGGGCCTTCTCAGAAGGCCCGGAAGTCCCCAGGCCTTCTGAGAAGCTTTCTGAGCCTTCTCCGAAGACGAAAAAAAAACCTCTCAGAGGGCGCGAGGGCTTCCGAGAAGTCCCGCCGCCTCCTTAGAGGGCTTTCTCTTTCTCACTTCCTCCTCCCCCCCCCCTCGCTCGCCGCCGAATTGTTTTTGGCAAGAGAAAGGCAGCGCTGTCCCAGCGGCCCACCGGCCCCCCTTTTGTTTGCCTTGCCCGCGTTTTTTTGTCGGCCCGTCCTGTTGTCCGAATGAGAGAGCGTTGTATTTTCCACCCGTGCTCACGCCCACGCACCGCCTGATGTATGGCTGGTAGTCTGTCTGTGCGTCTATCCCAGCGGCCCACCTGCCCCCCCACCACCGACGCCCGACCGCACGCCGCAGAGCCCCGGGGGTGCCCCCCCCAATGCCCCGACGACCCAGGGAGCTCGCACACTCCCCACCCTCCCCCGCTCCCCCTGTGAGAGCGACAGCCCCCTCCCTGGAAGAGAGAGAGAGAGAGAAGAAGCAAGAAGAAAGACAAAGAAAATAACGAAAGAAAGAAAGACGAAAGCCTAGTGAGAAACAAGAAGACAATGAAACAAATGATAACAACGATCCTCGTGTGGCTTCCCTCGCAGACGATCCTCGTGTGGCTTCCCTCGAAGAAGAACAAACGCCTGAAACATAAACTTCCCGCGCTCCCCGCGGATCTGTTGGATCTGCGCAGAGCTTCTTGCTCCTCCTCCTCCTCCTCCTCCTCCTCCTCCTCCCCGATCGCGAGGTGATGAGCAGGCAGCGGCGGATTCAGCGACACATGCGGAGTGGCCGTTCGCCGGAGTGACCGCTGGTGCGCGGTTTCTTGGGGGTGAGGGGCGCAAGAAGCCAATCAAAAGCTCGAGAACGCAGGCCGCCAGAATGCCGCCTCGCATGCAACGGGCAGCAAGTTCCCCACCAGAGGTCAGTGTAGCCCCAGGGCCCCTCCTAGGGGAACAAACCATGACATACACATAAAAAGTTCGGAGGTCCGCGCGGATTCCTCGGATCGGCGCGGGGGCACCCTGGCGGCGCCTCTGTCGCCGCACTTGGAGCGCTCCGCGCGCCAGGGAAGGGGGCCCAGCGCCGATTCACAAACCGCGCGGACCCTCGAGTTGTTATGTTGATGTCATTGTTCTCCGAGGACATGGAGGTGAAGGTGGCCCCCTCCTCGGGAGCACCTGGCCCTCCGTCGGTGGCGCGGTCGCGGGGTGATAGGTCAGCAGCGGTGAAGGTGGAGAAGTTCCGGCCTCCCTCGCCCAACATTCTTACCCCCACCCTCCCGATCGCAACCATCATTATCAATATGACCATGATCATCGTCATCATCATGCCAGTGCAAAAGAACGCATGGTCTGCGCGGGGAGGATTGCGGTGTCGTGCCGCAGAACCAGCAGCATCAGCATCAGCATCATCATCATCATCACCACCACCGCCACCGCCATCGTCATCGTTGTCGTCATCATCCTCATCCTCATCATCACCACCACCATCACCACCAGTATCAGCATCATCATCAGCACCATCAGCATCATCAGCAGCAGCATAACCACCACTATCATCATAACCATCATCACAACCACCATCATCATAATCAGCATCATCCTCATCCAGATCATCATTCTCGCATCATCATCACCATAAGTCGCAGTATCATCATCTTCAGCATCATCACAATCATCATCACCAGTATCAACATCAGCATCATCACTATCATTATTATCATCCTGATCATCATCACCACCACCACCATCACCATCACCAGCATCGTCATCATCATCACCATCCTTGTCGTCATCACCATCATTATCATAATCATCAGCATCATCATCATCGTCGTCGTCATCGTCATCATCAGCAGCATCGTCATCATCGTCATCGTCATCGTCATCATCATCATCATCATCATCATCATCATCATCATCATCGTCATCGTCATCGTCATCCTCATCATCACCACCCATCCTCATTCTCATCCGCATCATCTCCCCCGCCAGCCTCTCTCATCCACCCCGCTCTCTCCCTCCCTCCTCGATTCTCCCGCCGCACCCTCCCCCCCTTCCGTCGGACGAGGGTGACGGGGAGGGCAATGGGGAGGTGGGGGGCTCGAGGGGAGGGGCAGGGGGGAAAGGGGAGGTGGGGTGGACGGCGTCCGTCTCCCCTCATTCTTCTCCCTTCTGCCCGCCCTTCCCTCCCCCCCTTCCGCATCCCCCCCTCCTCCTCCTCCTCCTCCTCCTCCTCCTCCTCCTCCTCCTCCTCCTCCTCCTCCTCCTCCTCCGCCTCCGCCTCCGCCTCCGCCTCCTCCTCCTCCTCCTCCTCCTCCTCTTCCTCCTCCTCCTCCTGCAGCAGCACCCCTCCCCCCCCTGCCCGCCTCCGCCCACCGCGGCGCGCCTCTCCGCGCCACAGCCGCCGAGGTGCGGCGGGGGCCAGGCTCAGAGGTCCCGCTTCGTGCTCGTGCCCAGCGACGAGGGCGGGGAGCCTTGCGGGGCCCTCGGCGGCCCTCGGCGGTCCTCGGCCGGCCCTCGGTGGCCCTCGGCCAGCCCTCGGCGGCCCTCGGCTGGCCCTCGGCTGGCCCTCGGCGGCCCTGGCCCTCGGCCAGCCCTCGGCGGCAGCGGCTTCCACGTGCATGTGCTGGCTCCGAGGCCTGGGTCGGCTTCTGCCGGCCGCGCGCAGATGGGGGTGGGGGGAAGGGGGGGGGCTTCTTAGAAGCTCCCCCCCGCTCCTTAGATGGCGCGGGCCCAGTCTACAGACGTAAGGCCAGCGCCTTCTAAGAAGCAGCCTCCTTCTAAGAAACCTGCCCCCCTCCACCTGCACCCCATCTGCACGCGGCCGACGCTGGGTGGCACACGCAGACGCAAGCCTGCCGCTTGGCGCAGCGGCCCCGCGCGCGGCGACGGGGCGTATAACGTCGGGAGCAGGCAGCGAAACGCGCGCGCGTCCACGCCCGGCCGAGCTCTGACAGACACATACGCAAGCGTGCACACCCAGAGGAAAATTACGCTACCGAGGAACACCACATACGCTCCAATATGGCTGGAGTGAGGACAGCTGAAGTGAAGCATAATGTGAATGATTTTGGTGGCCGTTGCCACCCCCAACGCACCCCCTGTGGTGTCGACGAAGTGCCACGCCTGCCACGCTGTGCGGGGACGCAACGGATAGGGAGACCACCCCCAGCGCACCCCCTCTGGTGTCGAGGAAGTGCCACGCCTGCCACGATTTGCGAGCCCGGAACGCATAGGGCACCCACCCCCCAGCGCACCCCCTCTGGTGTCGAGGAAGTGCCACGCCTGCCACGCTTTGCGAGCCCAGAACGCATAGGGCACCCACCCCCAGCGCACCCCCTCTGATGCCGAGGAAGTGCCACGCCTGCCACGCTTTGCGAGCCCGAAACGCATAGGACCCCCACCCCCAGCGCACCCCCTTCTGGTGTCGAGGAAGTGCCACGCCTGCCACGCTTTGCGAGCCCGAAACGCATATGGCACCCACCCCGAGCGCACCCCCTTCTGGTGTCGAGGAAGTGCCACGCCTGCCACGCTTTGCGAGCCCGGAACGCATAGGACCCCCAGCCCCAGCGCACCCCCTCTGGTGTCGAGGAAGTGCCACACATGCCACTCTTTGCGAGCCCGAAACGCATAGGGGCCCCACCCCCAGCGCACCCCCTCTGGTGTCGAGGATGTGCCACGCCTGCCACTCTTTGCGAGCCCGAAACGCATAGGGCACCCACCCCGAGCGCACCCCCTTTTGGTGTCGAGGAAGTGCCACGCCTGCCACGCTTTGCGAGCCCGAAACGCATAGGCCCCCCACCCCGAGCGCACCCTTCTGGTGTCCAGGAAGTGCCACGCATGCCACGCTTTGCGAGCCCGAAGCGCATAGGGCACCCACCCCGAGCGCACCCCCTCTGGTGTCGAGGAAGTGCCACGCCTGCCACGGCCGGCCCTCGGCTGGCCCTCGGCGGCCCTCGGCTGGCCATCGGCGGCCCTGGGCGGCCCTCGGCGGCGCGCGGCGGCGCCCGGCGGCCCTTGGCGGCCCTCGGGCGGCCCTCGGCGGCCCTCGGCGGCGCGCGGCGGCGCGCGGCGGCCCTCGGCGGCCCTCGGCGGCCCTTGGTGGCCCGCGGAGGCGCTCGGCGGCCCTCGGCCGGCCTTCGGCCGGCCCTCGGCGGCAGCGGCTTCCACGTGCACGTGCTGGCTCCGAGGCCTGGGTCGGCTTCTGTCGGCCGCGCGCAGATGGGGGTGGGGGGAAGGGGGGGGCTTCTTAGAAGAACCCCCCCGCTCCTTAGATGGCGCGGGCCCAGTCTACAGACGTAAGGCCAGCGCCTTCTAAGAAGCAGCCTCCTTCTATGAAGTTTGCCCCCCTCCACCTGCACCCCATCTGCACAGGGCCGACGCTGGGTGGCACACGCAGACACAAGCCTGCCGCTTGGCGCTGCGGCCCCGCGCGCGGCGACGGGGCGTATAACGTCGGGAGCAGGCAGCGAAGCGCGCACGCGTCCACGCCCGGCCGAGCTCTGACAGACACATACGCAAGCGTGCACACTCAGAGGAGGAAAATTACGCCACCGAGGAACACCACATACGCTACAATATGGCTGGAGTGAGGATAGCTGACGTGAAGCATAATGTGAATGATGTTGGTGGCCGTTGCCACCCCCAACGCACCCCCTGTGGTGTCGAGGAAGTGCCACGCCTGCCACGCTGTGCGGGGCCGCAACGGATAGGGAGACCACCCCCAGCGCACCCCCTCTGGTGTCGAGGAAGTGCCACGCCTGCCACGCTTTGCGAGCCCGAAACGCATAGCCCCCCCCCCCCCCAGCGCACCCACTCTGGTGTCGAGGAAGTGCCACGCCTGCCACGCTTTGCGAGCCCGAAACGCATAGGGCCCCCACCCCCAGCGCACCCCCTCTGATGTCGAGGAAGTGCCGCGCCTGCCACGTTTTGCGAGCCCGAAACGCATAGGACCCCCACCCCCAGCGCACCCCCTCTGGTGTCGAGGAAGTGCCACGCCTGCCACGCTTTGCGAGCCCGAAACGCATATGGCACCCCCCCCAGCGCACCCCCTCTGGTGTCGAGGAAGTGCCACGCCTGCCACGTTCTGGTGTCGAGGAAGTGCCACGCCTGCCACGCTTTGCGAGCCCGAAACGCATAGGGCCCCCACCCCCAGCGCACCCCCCCCTCTGGTGTCGAGGAAGTGCCACGCCTGCCACGCTTTGCGAGCCCGAAACGCATAGGGCCCCCACCCCCAGCGCACCCCCTCTGGTGTCGAGGAGTGCCACGCCTGCCACGCTTTGCGAGCCCGAAACGCATAGGGCACCCACCCCGAGCGCACCCCCTCTGGTGTCGAGGAAGTGCCACGCCTGCCACGCTTTGCGAGCCCGAACGCATAGGGCCAGCGCACCCCCTCTGGTGTCGAGGAAGTGCCACGCCTGCCACGGCCGGCCCTCGGCTGGCCCTCGCGGCCTTCGGCTGGCCCTCGGCGGCCCTGGGCGGCCCTCGGCGGCGCGCGGCGGCGCGCGGCGGCCCTTGGCGGCCCTCGGGCGGCCCTCGGCGGCCCTCGGCGGCGCGCGGCGGCGCGCGGCGGCCCTCGGCCGCCCTCGGCGGCCCTTGGTGGCCCGCGGAGGCGTTCGGCGGCCCTCGGCCGGCCCTCGGCCGGCCCTCGGCGGCAGCGGCTTCCACGTGCATGTGTTGGCTCCGAGGCCTGGGTCGGCTTCTGTCGGCCGCGCGCAGATGGGGGTGGGGGGAAGGGGGGGGCTTCTTAGAAGCACCCCCCCGCTCCTTAGATGGCGCGGGCCCGGTCTACAGACGTATGGCCAGCGCCTTCTAAGAAGCAGCCTCCTTCTATGAAGCCTGCCCCCCTCCACCTGCGCCCCATCTGCACGCGGCCGACGCTGGGTGGCACACGCAGACACAAGCCTGCCGCTTGGCGCAGCGGCCCCGCGCGCGGCGACGGGGCGTATAACGTCGGGAGCAGGCAGCGAAACGCGCGCGTCCACGCCTGGCCGAGCTCTGACAGACACATACGCAAGCGTGCACACCCAGAGGAGGAAAATTACGCTACCGAGGAACACCACATACGCTACAATATGGCTGGAATGAGGATAGCTGAAATGAAGCATAATGTGAATGATGTTGGTGGCCGTTGCCACCCCCAACGCACCCCCTGTGGTGTCGAGGAAGTGCCACGCCTGCCACGCTGTGCGGGGCCGCAACGGATAGGGAGACCACCCCCAGCGCACCCCCTCTGGTGTCGAGGAAGTGCCACGCCTGCCACGCTTTGCGAGCCCGAAACGCATAGGGCACCCCCCTCCAGCGCATCCCCTCTGGTGTCGAGGAAGTGCCACGCCTGCCACGCTTTGCGAGCCCGAAGCGCATAGGGCCCCCACCCCCAGCGCACCCCCTCTGATGTCGAGGAAGTGCCACGCCTGCCACGCTTTACAGGAAGTGCCACGCCTGCCACACTTTGCGAGCCCGAAACGCATAGGACCCCCACCCCCAGCGCACCCCCTTCTGGTGTCGAGGAAGTGCCACGCCTGTCACGCTTTGCGAGCCCGAAACGCATAGGGCCCCCACCCCCAGCGCACCCCCTCTGGTGTCGAGGAAGTGCCACGCCTGCCACGCTTTGCGAGCCCGAAACGCATAGGGCCCCACCCCCAGCGCACCCCCTCTGGTGTCGAGGATGTGCCACGCCTGCCACGCTTTGCGAGCCCGAAACGCATAGGGCACCCACCCCCAGCGCACCCCCTCTGGTGTCGAGGAAGTGCCACGCCTGCCACGTTTTGCGAGCCCGAAACGCATAGGCCCCCCACCCCCAGCGCACCCCCTCTGGTGTCCAGGAAGTGCCACGCCTGCCACGTTTTGCGAGCCCGAAGCGCATAGGGCACCCACCCCGAGTGCACCCCTCCTGGTGTCGAGGAAGTGCCACGCCTGCCACGGCCGGCCCTCGGCTGGCCCTCGACGGCCTTCGGCTGGCCCTCGGCGGCCCTGGGCGGCCCTCGGCGGCGTGCGGCGGCGCGCGGCGGCCCTTGGCGGCCCTCGGGCGGCCCTCGGCGGCCCTCGGCGGCGCGCGGCGGCGCGCGGCGGCCCTCGGCCGCCCTCGGCGGCCCTTGGTGGCCCGCGGAGGCGTTCGGCGGCCCTCGGCCGGCCCTCGGCCGGCCCTCGGCGGCAGCGGCTTCCACGTGCATGTGTTGGCTCCGAGGCCTGGGTCGGCTTCTGTCGGCCGCGCGCAGATGGGGGTGGGGGGAAGGGGGGGGCTTCTTAGAAGCACCCCCCCGCTCCTTAGATGGCGCGGGCCCAGTCTGCAGACGTAAGGCCAGCGCCTTCTAAGAAGCAGCCTCCTTCTAAGAAGCCTGCCCCCCTCCACCTGCGTCCCATCTGCACGCGGCCGACGCTGGGTGGCACACGCAGACATAAGCTTTGCCGCTTGGCGCAGCGGCCCCGCGCGCGGCGACGGGGCGTATAACGTCGGGAGCAGGCAGCGAAACGCGCG